AATTATATCAAACATTTAAAGCAGAAAAAAGAAGGAACACTTCTCCCCTCATTTTAGGAACTCAACATTGTGCTGATCCTAAAACTGGATAAAGATAATAGAAGAAAAAAGTATGAACATAGGTAAAAATTTGTTTAAGAAAACAAACTATTAGAAGTCAGCTCTGGCAGTATGTAGAAAGCGGTTTTATTATAGGGATGGCAGTGTTGATTCACCATTGGAAGAACCACCCCCATAAGGACTATATACACTTTCACATGTTAACACATTCAAGTAATTTCTCTGGACATAGTCGTGACACTATACTATGAAAGTTAAGAAGGGAAAGGACTTAACTGTAACATTTAGAATAAGAGGTTTTGTTTGAACAGGGAAGAAAGTTCAAGAACGGTAAATTTATAAACCATGGTTCCAGAAAAGAGTCTAACACCATGTGAGTTATTTGATCTATTTGGACACTAGTTCCTTTGACTGTAAAGTGGAAATCATATTTATTATTTATCCTCAAGGGTCCTCAGTTTTCACACCAACTCTATGTAAAACACCTGCTTCAATGTCTGCCACAAGCTTCTATTTATTATGTCAGTGATGTACATGCCTCTCAAAGGTGGCCAATGTCACATACTGCTGTGAGGCAGCCCTCTTTTTGCCAGCCCACAGTTTGTGTTTGTATAGCATCTTTTCTATTACTAGGTTGTTAGTGGAAATCCCCAGGAATCCCTGTGACAAAGGTTGCTTACTGCTCAACAAAGTCCTCGAGAGATTCATGGATTTGCCACCAGTAGAAGAGGAGGACTCCAAAGAATTCAGATCACTGGTCACAGAACAACTGGCAGTGTCTCTCAGTCCCTAGCGGGAAAGATTCTTCCTTGCCCCAAGTCTTTGCTCTGCTTTCTATGTTGTGCTACTGGGGTACCTGCCAGGCTTTAGTTCATTCATTCTGTCACATGGAACTAAGTATCCCTAATCAGTCACAAGCTATGATCTAGGGTTACAAAACAGCTCCTGCCACTAGAAGTCCATGCCACATATCCACAGTGCCTGTCACAGGTTGCTTCTGGCATGGCTGTATCCATCACACAAAAACCCCTTAAGATTCTTCAGATTTCTCAGTTCCTCTAGCAGAATCACAGAATTTCAGCACTAAAAGGGACCTTAAAAGACTACATATAGAATCTATTTACAGAAGAGAACAAGTACTACCCATCCAGATATAGTGACCTGGGGCCGGGGATTTACTTCAGTGGTTCCGCTTCCTGCCTCCAAAGTGTAAGGTCCTGAGTTCAATCCCCAGTACCAAAAGAAAAAAAAAGATATGGTGACCTGACCAAAGTCACTCAGCCCAAAGCCTTGGCTCTCTACCATCATTCATCAGACCTCTTTTTATAATGCTTTTGCTTCATGTAAATAAACACAGACAGATGTAGCCTATCATTTCCCTTTCAGTGTCTTCTGACACTGTCCCTCTGTGTTTTCTTACCTATAAAACCAATCCAGAAGTAGTCTATCAAATGGAACCAGATAATTTATCCCAAGGGATTAATGACTCACATTAACTGAACATTTGCATTATAATAGAAGACAGACCTTCTACCCAGTATTTCTAATGGACGAATAATAGACCTCAGAAAACACTGAGTTATTTGTGCAGCTGTTTAGACTGGGGGGGGGGGTCCTTCTCAGGCCTGTCATAGCACATATAGTCCCTGTTGTGTACAACGTCAGTACAAAAAAAGACCATTGTCCTAATATGTATTGAGTGAACAACCAGGAGAGGAAGAAAGGAAAGGCTTAAAGGCTTCTGAAACTTCAATATAACAATCTTCCTCTTATCTCAAAACAGATCAGGTTTTCGGTGAGCACGTCGAAGTATTTTTAAAAAGCTGCATGGATCCAAATAGACAGATGGTGATATTTAAAGCACACGTATTTGGTGTCACTTTGAATTCTTTTCCCTGGTGTGTACCTACAATGTAAACAGTAAAGCTCTCATAAACAAATTTAGACTTTAAAAATAGCTCTTCAACATGCTAGTAGCCTAGTGGGCCTGACACAGTAGAACAAAACAGTTTCTGATTTACCAGATGACCAAAACCTTTAAATACAGTGTATAAATTTATGGGCTAGGATGTGAATCAGAGATGGAACATTTGCCTAGCATGTGCAAAGTTCTGAATTCAATCCCTACCACTGAAAAAAAATGCATAAATAGGGGCCGGGGATTTAGCTCAGTGGTTTCACCACCTGCTGCACAAGTACAAGGACCTGAGTTCATTCCCCGGTACCAAAAAAATAAAAAAATAAAAAATAAAAAATAAAAAAAATGCATAAATACCCACACACATTTTTTTTTAAATTTTAAAATCTTAACCTCTCTAGTGCCTTTTCACCCAGTTAGTCATGATGCACTATGAGAATTGTGAAGATTAAGTAAGATGACACCTAAAAAGTACCAATTGGGTTTGGCACTCAGTAAATCAACAGTGGCCCTACCATCTAGTTTAAAAGCAAAAATTCTTTAAACTGGATAGCTGGGTTATATGACCTTGGTTAGTTCTCTTACTTCTTGGGGGATCAGTTTCCTAATTTATAAAATAAGATCGGAGTAAGCACTTGGTTAATGTTGGATGGGGGAAGGGAGGATGAATACATATTAGATTTTGGAAGGTTGAATAAATGGATGATAATGTTGGTCTGGTTGGTATAATGGAATACTGTCTAAATAAACAGACTCATAAAAATTTTGCTTGTTATCACAAAAAATACCTACAATCCCAGCTTCTTGGG